TTAAAGCTTTCGGACTTATTAACAAAATTGTAATCGATGGAGAGTGTGGAGACTGGAGACCTATTAAAAAATTAAATTAAATTTAATTAATAAAGTTTACGATTTTCAGTTGAGTGGTTTTACAAATAAAGTTGAATTAGTTTCTAATGGGACATTTAATTCAAAACTGAATCAATTGTTTATTAATTCTGGATATTGATCGGTTCGAGGTACGGAATATCCTAAGTATGGAACCGATCCATATCCTGAATAAGATCGTGATAAATATACAAGAAAGAGTTTCGAATTTAGGCCGAATAAATTGCATAAAATAACCGAATATAACCAAATATTGTGAGTTCGAAAATTAAAATTTTAAAAATAAAGCAGAAATTAAAATTTTCGAATTAGTTTTAAATCCGAATCGATTTTCCCGATTATACATTTCGAAAAATTGTTGTTGAATTTTTTTATAACTTAATCAAAACTAATACAACTGCAAAGTTAAGCGAAATTTCCAATTTTTTTTTTTTTTTTTGCGAAATAGTTTTCATCTACACTAAATTAAATGAAGTGAGATGACAAAAAAGAGGGTAAAAATTTAAATCTGGTGGACAAAAAAACACAAAAAACACAAAAATATAAACTTTTTTTCAGATTTTATTATTTTTTTTTTAATAAATTAAATTAAGCATGAAAAATTTCTGTACATTTTTAATGCCTTGTTTTTTTTTCTTTAGTTCATCACTTAAATTAAAAAAAATTCAACTTTTTTTTCTATTTATGTCTCTATTTTTTGTCCAATTATTTAAAGCAATCACGTTTGATAGAATTTTTAGCGATTCAAATTGATTTAATTGGCACAATAATTTTGCTATAAAAAAGGGACAATCCCTAAAAGTGAATAATGTAAATTTTTTTCTGCATAAAAGAATAAAATTAAATTATGCACTTTAAGTGTTATTTTAGATTTACAAAATATTTGTGCATACATTGAATAAATTCTAGAATCAAAAATCAATTATAAACCTCTTTTGCCTTCACGTTACGTTTCCAATTCTGATACGTAAAATTTGACATATACTCGTATAATAACGAAAAATTTAATACTCGCCTAATACAATGTACATATGTAAGTACATATACATATGTTTTGTGAGATTGCCCATTTTTAATAAAATAATCGATTTTAATTTCCTTGATCATGAATTATTTTATATATTATAATTGAAAAGGTTAAAAAATCTATTATTGTGGGTTCAAATCTAAAATGATGTTTATGTGCGAATATAGAGTTATCATATACAAAAATCATAAAATATTTAAGCATATTGTTTATAGAGGGCGTTATATTTTTACGTAATTCAGTCGATGATTTTTTTTTTTCATATCAATATAAATAAGACAAAACAATGTAAAAAATGATTTTTTAATTTAAATTTTAGATATTTTAAATTGTAATTAATTATTATTTTTATGTTTAAATATTGTATATGAAATATGTATGCTGTGTGTATATTCATGGATCCGTATTCAAATTAAATATACTTAGTTGTAGCCATTTATGTCTTTATTATGTCACCAAATTCAAATTTTATTAAATTTATGACTTTATAATTAAAAAATATAAAGAATATGTGAGTATGAATTCAGACTCAATTTGTGACAGTTAAAAGCATTCTAACTTGCTAAATACAATTATATAATTATAATTTTTTTTACAATTAAAAAATAAAAGTCAAAGGGTGCCGAATTTAACAAAATCACTTAAAATCTAAATATCATAAATAATTCTGTTGAAAATGCCAAACGTATAGAGTACGTTCACTTTACGTAGTAGACTAATACTATGTGTGTACTAAGTATTTACTGTTAGTATATATTGCATTATGAAATTGTTACTAGTCGTTTACTATTGTACTATACTTAATATACATATTATATGTTTGACATTTAAGAGATTTAAGAAAGAGCATTTTCGAATTTAATTGTAATAATATCAATATTTTATATTAATAATTAGTAGTCAATTATTTATTATATTAGTAGTGACATCTGTTATGTAAAAGTGGAGTCATGATTACTAAGTTTTCTGTTTTTCTGAATTTTCGGTATATTTTCTTTGATGAAATTAAAAAATAATAAAATTATTTTATTTAATTAATTTATTTCATGTTAAAAATGTTAAGTGTATCATTTCTTTAAATATTTTAAGTCGAATTTCGTTTTTTCGTAATTTATACAGCCTCAGATAGTCTGAGATCAGGCTTAACTCTACATACTTTCATTAATATAATCAAGTAATTTTTTTCTTACAGTGTTATTTTTTTTTTTTGGTAAATTACATCATAATTTCCATATGCAAATCCAACAAAATTCTTTTCTGAATCAAGTATCTAACTGTAATCACAATTTATTTTATTTAAGTTGACATATTTCATTTGCGAGAGAGAAAAAAAAAACACTTTAAGTCAGCAATTTAATATTTAAATTTATTTTTCTTTTATTAATAAAAATGTTTTGTTTTTTTTTCCATTTATGTATTTTGGTTTTCTATTCGAAAACACAGATTTAATGTGCAAAAACAAAATTTCCATCTCAATTGTAATTTTTTCTCTCTCTTTTTTTTGTATTGTTCTGTTTATTTTCTATTATTACTAAGGTACTTGTATGCAAATAACATGTGAATATTATTTATATAAGATTATATAATTTTTGCTACCATACTCATTTATACCTTATATAGAGAAAACTTTTATGTACCTTATACAAAGAGAAATAAAATTCAATTTAATGAACACTGAATTCCGCGAAAATAAATTTTAAACTCTTACGATAAATCAATAATGAGTATACACTACAATCCAATGACCATTTATGCAACTGTAAATAAATTTTCTCACTCTATTCAATAGCTAATTTACCTGTCAGTTTTTTTTTTTTGTTTGAGCTAAGTAGATAATAAGCAATAAAAAAAAGACGAAATAACAAAGTAAAGAAAGGTGAGCATTTAAAATGTAATTTGCAATACAAAGTTTAAAATGTAAATTTAAAAGCATTAAACTTGTATTGTGATAAAAAAAAGGTTGGGAGAGAGGAAAGAGAGGGATATTTGACATTCATATTGAATTATACTATTAATTTCGAATTCTTTAAAGGAACCGGAATATTTATTCGGAAAATTGATTCAAAGAAATTCCAAAATTATTACAAACTCGATTTTATTTAAAGTTTTTTGAATTTTCTTATTTAATAACTTGTTCTAACTTAAACAGGCAATTTTGAACATCATTTTATTTTGGTTCTCTCCCATCTCTGTACAAATATTTGACAAACGGAATACCAAATTATTAATTATGCTTTTAATTTTTTTTCGTTTCAAATACTTTTATAAAAATATTCGGCTAAATTGCAATTTCGGTAAAATATTTGGGGTATTAAGATATTAATAGTAATTTTAAAAACCTAAGATAAAAGAGGGAGCTCCTGTTTAACAAACAAAATAAAATTTTCGCTTGGAAAATTGCAGTACAACTCGTATACAACCGTTATCATAATACAATAGAGTACAGCAAAAAAAAAAAGTAAATAATATATAAATTAATTTGATAAAGGTTTTTAAAAATGGTAGAAGAACTCTGATAAAAAAAACTCAACTGTGCCTCTGCACCGTTAATACTAAGAAAAATCAATTTAAATTCCTTGCGATTTTTTATGCTTTTGTTGCATATTCTTTACTCCATTTTAGTCGCTCCAACATCAGAAACAATAGAAAAGATAGCATTAAAAATATTTGAAGTATTTTTTCAAATTTAAATAATTTTAAAAAGTTTATTTTTTATTAATAGGTATGGAAAGTGGATATTGTGACAATGAAAACTGTTACAGAATTGCCATGCTTTTATAAACGAATGCAGTTATATTTGGCCTGATTTTTAATAAAGATAACCTTTTCTTTTGTTATATTGTAGTTTTACTATTCAATTTAATTCAAAAAATATTAACTATTGTTTAAATACAGCATTCAATTCATGTGAGATAATTTTTAATACATAGTTCATTATTTTTTATTAAAATAATTGGAAATTAAAAAGGTTTTATTAAATATTATGTGTAGATATTGGGAAAATAAAGTTCATAATAATAAAATGCAGATTCAATGGAGAGATTAGATAATGGTAAATTCATTTATTTTCTATCATCATTATATTATGAGTATATATACGTAGATGGGCATTGTTAAGCCGAGAAAATGCGTTAAAAATTATTATTATTAAATATGGAGGAAAATGCATATATGTATCTATTGTTTTTATTTAATTAGACAATTTACATATTAATTATTTTTACGCTATACAATTCTATTGTTTAAAAAATAAAGTGTATCATTTATTTTAGTGAAGATGGTAATATATACGGGGCGTATATGCACAAGTATGTTACAATGTTAAGAAACTCTTTGTTCCGTCGGATATTTTTCACATAAAATATAAATATTTTATTGTTTACAAGCGATTTTATAATACTTTGAAACTATGTTAACTCTATTTACTTTAAATTAAGTTCCCATTCGTATATTAATTTATGACCTGGGTTAAAATGAAGGTATATAATAAAAGAGATACAGAGAACAATTTATAGTCCGATTCAAAGGAGCATTTATATAGTTTAGGATAATGTGGCCTATTTTAAATCATATTATACGGGTTTGGTTGTACATATACATATGTAAACGAAAGTATAAATGTTCATTATTTTTAAAATTTTCAGAGGTCGCTATGTATTCTCTTTCTATAATTTAGCTTAAAAATAAGTTTAAATATTTTTTAAAACTCTTTCTAAAAATATTTTTTTTTTTTTTATAAAATATGCAAATAGAATAGCCACTGTGCCATTTTAATGTCATATCGAATTTAACAAATGCCGATTTGGATCGAGAAATGAAATTAATTCTTTAATTTTCTAAGTTCTTCTGATAATCTAATTTCATTTAAAACAAATAAATTAAAATAAAAACTTACGTGTTGTATTCGTTGAAATTATTTTCGTTCGATTAACACCATTCGGTGTTGTTACCGGTGTTTGAGTTTTCGGTGGTGGTCCCAAATCTGTTGGTGATATACTTAAATTTCGTACATCACGTTTTTTAGCTGATCCTAAAACAAAATTAAAATTTATTAGTAAAAATTAATTTATAAAGTTTTTCAAATCAAATCAAAAAAAAAAAAAACAAAAACGCTCAAAATTAGCAACATTTATTAAAAATGATCTTCAAAGAATTCTAATATCGTAAATCAAAAAATAAAATAAACAAAATTCAAATTTTATTGACAAACAAAAATGACATATACGATATTAAATTTCTCATTTTTTTTTATTTTGGTATTAATCAAAAAAAAATACTCAATCAAATTCCACAAAAGTTCAATGTTTTCTCATTTAATTTTTTTTTATTCTACTTACAGAAAACAACAAATTATTAAAAATTTTTTGACATAATTAGAAAATTCTGACACTAAAAAAAACTCTCAAAATATAGTGGCGTTGCTTATTTTGGTTAAAAGATGACTAAACATGTATGTATGAATGTATGTATAGAAAATATAGAATTAGAGAGATAGATTAGTCGATTTTTTTTAAATAATGAAATGTGGATGAGATTAATTACATAGTGAATGTTGAAAGAACAAAAAATTTATGAAAAAAAAAAACGATTTGTAAATTTCAAACTTAAAAAAAAAAAAAACTCAAATCATTTTCTTTTGTTTTTTGCTCCCCGCATATTTTACTTATCAAGAGATGATGGAAAAATCCAGGAATCATAAGAAGAAATTTAATTAAATCTACAAAAATAAAATAAAAAGAAAAAAAATCAGAGTTTAAAGACAGAATGAGAAGGAAAAAAAAATCTTGAATTTTAAAATTTATGTTTTGCAATATTTTAAAAAAAAAACTAATATTTTTCTTTAACATTGAAATAATCGAAGCTGTTCTTAAATTCCAGACTTTTTTTTAATTTAAATATTTAAAGACGCTTTTTTATATTTCCAGACCATATAAGCACTCCTCTTTCAAAAACACATTTAAACAATTTTGAATTATTTTGTTTTCAAATACTTTAGCCAACCGGCTTTCATCATCTTAATGCTTTATAAATGAGCCGTAAGTCCTCAGCTATCAATAAGCAGGATTTGTATAAGAACTACTTATATACCCATTTTATGAAAAACAGCAGCTATGAGAGTCGACTTGTTGACCTGCAGAATTTTTTTCTTTTTTTCACTTCTCAAAAGAGAACACAACTGTGTTGCTGTGTAGTCAGGACAACGCTGATAACAAGATAGTCTCCGATCGAATTTATATATTATTGAATTTTTTGATAGGCGGCGGCCGGTTTGCCGTAACCATAATTTTTTCATATCGTATACTTATTTAAAGATGAATAGCTGGAATAGTGAACCGGTTGACCTGCAGAACATCTTCTCTTTTACCATTCCTAAACAAGAGAACAGAATTATACTGTTGCATAGTCGGGACAACACTGACAACCAAATAATCTTCGACCGAATTTATATACAATACTGAATTTTTATTAGGCGGGCGATTAATTTGCCGTAGTTATATTTTCTTTTGAATCGTATGCTTGTTTTTTGACCTACAGAATTTTTTCTCTTTTTGCATTCCTCATAAGATAAAAGAATTATACTGTTGCATACTCGGGACAACACTGACAGCCAGCTAATCTCCGACCAAATTTTCATTTAATACTGAATTTCTAATAGGCGGGCGACTAGTTTATATAGAGTAGCCAAGAGCCATATTGCCTTTCGTATCATATACTCTGATCGGTTATATAGTTCGGGGAATACTGTATTATTCTATAATCGGAACAACACTGACAACCAGATAATCTCCGACCGAATTTTTATTTAATACTGAATTTCTAATAGGCGGGCGACTAGTTTATATAGAGTAGCCAAGAGCCATATTGCCTTTCGTATCATATACTCTGATCGGTTATATAGTTCGGGGAATACTGTATTATTCTATAATCGGAACAACACTGACAACCAGATAACTTCCAATGGAATTAACTGAAATTTTTTATAGATCGAATAAACATATTGATTTTCGTATAGTACACTTATTTAAGGAAAAATAGTTGGAATAGGCGGCCGGTTGACCTGCAAGCGATTTATTTAAAATATAAACCTGAAATTAACAGCGATTAACTATTTAAAATGGTACACAATTCTGGAATTACGTAAGCACGATTATACAACAGAACAAATAAAATGAATGAATAATTTTTCTATATTTTCCTCGAAAAATTACCAAATATTATTCTAGTAGAATTACTTTCCACATGATATCACTGTAATTTAACTAATATTTAAAAATTTAGATACGTGAATTCTAAAATTCTGTTTATTTATAAATTTTAATTGACTTTAACGAAAATCCTTGAAAAAATTTTGAAAAAAAAACTTCGTCGGAAAGAAAAAAAAAACAACTTTTTAGTATCTCTTTCACTCTCTCTCTACCTGCCTCTCTAGCTAAATAATGTTGACAAAAGTATATCTGGGACGGAAAATTTTTTAATTTCATTCAACTATCACGAAAAATATTTATTTTTCTACGTCCGCTCGCCTCATTTCCCCCTCCATTCGTCGCATAGTGTTTTTTTTTTTTGCAAATCTACTTTCCAAAACTTAACTTTAAATTTTTTAAGAAATAAAAATTTTTTTTTTGTGATTTTCTTCAAACATTTTGAATTTAAATTTATTTTTTTTTATTTTCATCCCCATTACAATTTCAGCCTTATTTAGTTTTACCACAATATAAAAAAAAAAACACAATAAAAAAGAATAATAAAGTTTACTTTTTCGTTTCACGTTTCAAGGCTTAATTTTGTGTGAGTGTGTGTATGTGTGTGCTGCTTTCTATACCATTTTAGATACTAAATTTTCTTTTCTCTAATTTCAGGTTTATTTGCTTTCGCACACATCAGAATCACTGATGCGAAAATGAGAACAATGATGTTAAAATATTTTACGTTTTCATTTTCTTTTCTTTTTTGTTCTATCTGTGAATTTTCACAAGGAATTCCGCAAATAAGTATTTAAGTTTTTGTAAAAGAAAATTATTTTATTGTTTCTTCTAATTAGAAGGGAAATTTTTTTTTCTGCTAAAAAAGCTAAAAAACTTGGGATATGTACAGAAAACAAAAATTCCTTTTAAGACGAAAACAAGAAATAAAAAACGTTTTCACTAGAATTTTTCCATGGGTAAAAAGACAAATAATGTAGGTAAACTTTAAAATGAATTTTTCATTGAAATTTGTTAAACAAACTTTTTTTTCGAGAAATGCAATAGTAAAGAAAAGATACGCTGCGAAATAAAGAAAACCGGATATTATTTAGTGCTGTTATTTTTTTATTAAATTTGCATATTAATAGGCGGATTCAACATATTTCGCTAAACAGTTCTGAAATTTTAATTTTGCTAATTTCAAATTATTTTATATTAGAAGACTGCAAATACTCTCCTGATACGACTATCTGATAATAAGGGCAGAAACTAAACGAGTAACTAAAAATTATATAAGGGCAAACACAACAGAAAATATGACCATTCAAGAAATTTTATTAATTAATTATTATTAGAAATAAAAAAATTTATATATAATGGATCCAGCTAATCTTAATTCTGATTATGGCAGGCAGACAATTCTTAAGAGAAACAATTTTTCTAAAAGAAAGACAATTGCCATAGTGACAGAAAGTTTATCATAGAATTTTTGGACAGGCGAGCTCGAGAGACTGTAACCAAAAAGTTTTTTTGGTCTTTAGAAAAAAATTTTGTATAATTCTCTCTTTCTAGCTTCGCAAACCTGATACACATATTAATAGGGTTACCCTCTAATAAACTTGACCACATTTATGGAGGAAACCACTTCATGGAATTTAAAGATGTTGACTATTTCAACCGTAGTCCTTTCATATTGAAAATTGGTGAATTTTGAAAGCATATAGAAATTGAAAAACAAGACTAGAACATGGTTTTTGCAGCACAATATAAAACATCGTATAAAATTATCGAAGGTATACTCGTATTATACTCGTAAACTTATTCGATTAAACATTTAAATTTTTTTGATTATCCAACGGAACTGCTTCTAATAGTTGTTAGCAAAAATTAAACGAGAAATTGAAAACAAATTTCGTATTTTAAAGAGCAGGTCGATTTGGAACGTCATGTTAAGGTATAAAATGTTTTCATTTATTACTGCCTGTGCCTATGATTCCTCTTACCCCTGTTTACATTCAATTTTATTCGCAAATATTATAAAATCTACTTAGCATCAAGTGTGCTACAAAAACATTGGGTTCTTCTTTAAATTACAGTACAACAAAGATAACTTTCTTCAAATACTAGTTTTTTCAACAACTACTCAATTACCTTATATAAGTAATATTCAAAAATATAAAAAGTAAACTTCCTCTATATTTCTATGAAAAAAAAACTTACGTCACAATAAGTTTTCCTATTTTTTTAAAAACTAAAATTATTTTCTAAGTTAAATAGAAACTTTAAATGAGAGAAATTTTTCTCTCTTAAAAAAAAAATAGTGTTCATTTGTCAAAAGAAAATATTTTATTATTTTTAATATTCCGGAGCCCATCTGTTTTCTGTGTTAATTAATTTAACCAAATATTCTCGGATTAAGAACAGTTGAACTAAGTACAATCTGCAAGTGTGTGTAAAACACAATATACTTTAAGAATACCAAATATTTTAATAAGATTAAATAAAAAAAAAATAAAAGAAAAATTAAACAAATTTAACCGGCTATAAAAGTTGCCACCGGCTGCCCCCCGTTTTGAAAATTTAAAAATATCATTGCTAAAATAAAAAGTTGGAAAAAATTTACATTTAAATGACGTCTTCAACTTCTGTTCCTTCTTCTTCTTCTTCTTCTTGTTTTTAGTTCATCTTAAGCTTGACAAAATGAATAAAATAAATTTTTTTTTTCTGGAATTTAGTTTTTCTCTTAAAAAATGCAGTCACGTGAAAAGTATAAAATATTCAAGTTTTTCCTTGCTATTTGTTTCGTTTTTGCTTTTTTTTCGATTTGGACACAAGAATTTCCATTCAAAGTGTGCATTTCCTTAATTTACAAAAAAAAAATAAATAGAGTCAACTCATCATCCATAATACCTTAAACGTTGGTTACACAATCTAAATAGCACAAAGGCTTATATAAGCATTTGCATTTATGTGCATACACACTTGTATATTTTGAGTGAGATTTATTTTTTGCTTCCTTCTGTCAACTTTTAAATTTTTTTTTATCTCTTGCCTCTTTGTTTCCTTTTTAGTTAATTTCCAACTAACCGTTTATTATACGAGTATTTGTTTAAAAATAGTTTTTTGCACAAAAAAAACACACACACAATTGCATATTCACATTCTCTGCACACTGTTAGTTTCCACTGTAATTTTTTGTCATTCATTTTTATTTTCTTAATTCTTGTCTTGCCTTCCACAATTACGTTTACAATTCAGTGGATTGAATATGAAAATTTTAAACGCAACGCGGTTGGTTTTGAAACAAACCAAATATAAACAACCACCGTTGTCTTATTGCATTGTTTAATATCATTTTCTTTCATCTCATCTCTTCTCACAAAGTCTTCTTTTCATCTCCTCCTATGTTTTATTCTGGAAGTCTGACTGAACTGCTCAAAAATTTTTCTGTTTGTTTTATATTGTATTGTATTCTAATTTATAGTTACATAGAAGGTACTTATTTACAACTGCATTCCATACAATAATGAAG